AAAACAAAAGTGAATGAATAAATAAATAAATGAAAAAAAAGAAAGAAAGAAAAAAGAAAAAAAGGACCAGAAACTTGCTTGAATAAACTTCCAAAATCTGAGGAAGAAGAGGACATAGAAATTAAAATTCAAAGGACTCCAAAAAATGCTGGAAGTTGCCTAGCACCTATAAAGGTCCTGAGTATGACACCTAGAAATACAAGGGAGAGAAGTCCATACTGTGATACATCACAATTGTTGAAAAGAACACAGAGGATATTAAAGCCACCAAGAAAGCAACTCATCACATATAAGGGATCATGTTATATTTTTCCACAGATTTCTTAAATCTTATATATCAGAAGGAACTAAAAGAGTACATTCAAAGTGCTGAAGAGAAAAACTGCAAGCCAAAATTATATCCAGCAAAACTGCCCTTCAAAACTGAAGGAGAACCTGGGTGGTGGTGGTACACGCCTTTTATCCCACCACTTGGAAACAGAGGCAGGCAGATGTCTGTGAGTTCAGAGGCCAGTCTGGTCTACAGAGTGAGTTCCAGGACAGCCAGAACTGTTACAAAGAGAAATCTTGTCTTGAAAAAAACAAACAAAACAAAAAAACCCAAACAAACAAAAGTGAAGGAGAAAGACTTTTCAGACCGACAAAAGTTGAGGTAGTTCATCACCTGAAAGCAGAACTAAATACACATCAGACAGCAATAAGAAAACATATAAAAATTGGGTTTGCTGGGCAAGATCAATATTTATATACTGAATTCTATAAGGTTATAAAAAATAGTGTATAATTCTGGTAAATAATTTAGAAGACAAAAGTATAAAAAATAACTGTACCAGCCACATGTGGTTCCTAGCCTAGGGAAACAGACAGGAGGCCCTCTGCACATTCAAGGCCAGCTTGGTCTGTCTTTACAGGGAGTTCCAGGACAGCCAGGGCTACATAATGAGACCTATGTTCTCAATAAATTAATTAATTAAAATAAAAACAATCATATCCTAAGTCAACACAAACAGTAAACAAAAGATAGCAGAGATGACAACACTGATATCAAACAAACTATGCTTGTCAAAAACGGTCACAAAAAAAGGAATGACACTATAGAATGACAAAATAAGCTTAAGAGAAAGTTAACATCACAGTGCTCAAATATATGAAACAAGCATTGACCAAATTGAAGAAACAGATCACAGTTAGACAAAGCAATTTCACTGCCACTTTATAACAATGGAGACGACAATCAGGCATGGTGGCTCATTCCTGTAATCCCAGCACTGGGGAAGCTCAGACAATAAGATCACCTGGACTTAAAGGCCAGCCTGGGTTACATACTGAGTTTCAAGCCAACATGACTAGAGCATTAGACCCTGTATCAAAAAACAAGCCAGGCATGCTGGCTAATACCTATAATCCTAACACTGTGTTTGAAACAGGTGGAGACCAGCCTAGGCTGTGAGGCAAGCAAGTCCCAGGCCATGTTGAACTACAGAGTGAGGCTGCCTCAAAAGAGGAGTGGGGGTGGGGCAGGTGGGGTCAGAGAGATGCCTCAGTGGGTAAAGGCTCTTGCCACCAAACCCGACATAATAGAAGGCAAGAATCAACTTGAAAACACTATCCTTGGGCTTACACACATGTGCTAGGGCTACCACACACAAATAAATAAAATAGGACAACCACCCAAAAATTGAAAGATGGTAATTAGACTTGAACACCGCAGGTTACTAGACTGAACACATATACACTGAAAATCCCACTGAAGAGTAGAAGAATCTACATTTCTCTCAAGTGTACACAGAACAGTCCCCAAAATACATTATGCTCACAAAATATGTTGTAAGAAATTTATGCAGGAGGCAGAGGCGGGTGGATCTCTGTGAGTTCGAGGCCAGCCTGGGCTACAGAGTGAGTTCCAGGAAAGGTACAAAGTTACACAGAGAAACCTTGTCTCAAAAAAAAAAAAAAAAAAAAAAAAAAAAAGTTGAGACAAGTGAAAATACTAGAGACTGAAACATGATATTCAGCAAAAGTAGTACTAAGAAGGATAATTGTATTAGTAACTACCTATAGTTTTTGTTTGTTTTAAGCCAGGCCCTGGGGCTAGAGATGGCTCAGCAGTTAACAGATATACTGTACACACACACACACACACACACACACATTAAAATTTTTCAATCTTTAAAATAAAGGGGAGGGGGAATCAGGTTTAGTTACATTCATGTTCCATAATCCCAGAATTGAGAAGGTAGAGGTAGGAAGAAAGATCTATCTACAAGCTGAAGGCCAGTATAGCAAGTTCCAGGATAGCCTAAGATATGAGAAACATACAAAAATTTAATCCAAAGTTAGAAGGAAAAAAGTACAGCAGAAATAAATAAATAAATAAATAAATAAATAAATAAATAAATAAATAAATAAATAAAACTGAGTGTAGAGAATACAAGAAACAACAAAAATCAGAAGCCAGGAACGTACATCAGCTAAGGCTTGCCAAGTATATCGCAGGGCCTTAGGCTACATCCCTAATATAAAAAAGAAAAAATACTTTTTTTTCTTTGGGTTTTTCGAGACAGGGATTCTCTGTGTAGTTTTGGTGCCTGTCTTGGATCTCGCTCGGTAGACCAGGCTGGCCTCCAACTCACAGAGATCCACCTGGCTGGAAAAATACTTTTAAGTACCAAGTGAAAGTGTTTTGAAAATTTTATTCAATTTTTAAAAATTATTTATTTTTTGAGATAATATAATTACATCACTTCCCAGGCCTCTTTTTTCACTAACTGTTGTTATATACATATATTTAATTTTTTAACTGAATTAACGAGGGAGAGCACACAAGTTATGTGCATGTGAACGCAAGTGCCTGCAGAAGCCAGAAGAGAGCTTTATAGTGCCTGGAGCTGAAGTACCAGGCAGTTAAGACTCGTTCCACATGTGTGCCGGGATCGTAACTCAGGTCCTCTGCAAGAACAGTATGTGTTCTTACTGCTGAGCCTCCAGGTCCTCAGACTGGAGTTTTAAAAAAAAAAAAATATATAAATATTACAAGCTCTTGACAACATTAAGGGGAAAAAGGGACTTAAATCATAAAGAGACATTACAACTGAAATCATTAAGGACTATACACCAACAAACTGGACAATCCAGAAGAATTGAATAAATTCCTTGAAATAGTCAACCCAACAAGACTGAATGAACGAAATGAATCATTTTTAAAAAATCTAAATAAGGCCGGGCGGTGGTAGCGCACGCCTTTAATCCCAGCACTGGGGAGGCAGAGCCAGGCGGATCTCTGTGAGTTCGAGGCCAGCCTGGTCTCCAAAGTGAGTTCCGGGAAAGGCGCAAAGCTACACAGAGAAACTCTGTCTCGAAAAACAAAAACAAAAACAAAAACAAAAAAAAAATCTAAACAAAGCAGAGCTAATGTCTTTGATTCCTGCACTTTGGAGGCAGAGGCAGCCTGGTCTACAGAGCTAGCTCTAGGAGAGCTGAAGATACACAGAGAAACTGTCTTGAAAAAGAAAGGGGAAAAAAATCTAAACAGACATAATAAGACTGAATAATCAAAACACTTCCCAGGGCTGGAGAGATGGCTCAGCTGTTCTGAGCAGTGGCTGTTTTTTCTGAGAAGCCAAGCATCCACATGGCAGCTTATAACCACCAAACTCCAGTTCCAGGGGACCTGACACCCTCTTCTAACCTCTGTGAGCACCATACTTGTAAGCAAAACCCATACACATAAAATAAATTAAAAACAAAACAAAACAAATTTCCAACAGGGCTGGAGAGATGACTCAGCAGTTAAGAGCATGTACAGCTCTTCCAGAGGACCCAAGATTCCCAATACTCCCATCAAGTGGCTCACACTGACCTATAGAACTCTAGTTCCTGGGGGTCCAACATCTTTGGCTTGTTGAGACCTGAACTCATGTGCATTCTCTCTGTCTGTCTCTCTCTCTCTTAAAAAAAATAAAAATAAAATTTAAGAACAACAGCAAAGCCCAGGAAGCCCACAGTTCACTGGAGCATTCCTCCAAGCAGTTCAGTGTTCTCAAACTCTTTCAAAGCTGAGCATCTACAATCCCAGCACTCAGGAAGCTAAAAAGCAAGATGATCTCAATGGAAAAAGTACAGTTTCTTTAACAAATGATTATGGGAGCACTGAATATCCACATCAAAAGAATTCAGGGCTGATGCCTTCCACCACACAAAAAAATTAACAACAAAACAAATAGGTATAGGACTTAAGACAATTAAACTGAAATACAGGGAAGAATGTTATCACATTGGGATGGACAGTAGCTTCTTGGCTATGACACCTAACAAAAAATATCAAGAGCAAAAACAGTGAAAACATTACATAAGACTTTAAACTTCTCAAAAAAAAAAAAAAAGTTAGCTGGGCACAGTGGTGCTCCTTTAATCCCGGCACCAGGATCTTGAGTTTGAGGCAGCCTGGGCTACAAACCAAGTTCCAAGACAGCCAGGACTACACAGACACCCCATCTTAAAACAAAAACTTAAGACCCAGCAGAGAAAAAAGTAGCTCATACGATAGGATTTCTTAGCACGTCTCTTAAAGTAGAGCCTCTCAATTACCGCCTGGGTCCCAAAATGTCAGTCAACTTTATAAGGTAAGAAACCGGAAATGGAGAAAAAAATTGTTGGGACTTACAAAAAGAAAGGAAGAAAGGCTTTTGATAAAAATGAACTGTGGGGCATGCAACTCAGAGTAGAGTACTGACAATAGGTCTTAAATTCAATCCTCAATAGCAGCAAAATAAAATACAACAAAAAAAGTCTGAAAATACAGAAACCCCAGCTTTAGATTTCAGTCTTCTAAATAAAACTGCTTCTTAATCGAGTAACAATTCTGCCCACCCAGTTTGTAAGACATTTTTTTCCATTACAACAGACAGACCCAGGACTTCAGAACAGCAAACAGCAACTCTGTCATGAAAGCAACATTATCAACAAATTCTCTAATCACTTTCTACCAGATGTAACCTTACCTGGTTCAGGGAGTTTGGTCTGTGGTGTCAAACTGGGAATTCCTGTCTCCTTCTCCACATCACCCATGCAAACACTGGATTTATCACAAACGTTCAGCCGTGGCCCAACTGAATCCGAGTGGCCGACATGATTAGGATCTGCTGCTGAGTCCTCAAGTATGCTCGTAGGAGGAGCTCTGTGTTCTAAGTAATCATCCCGCCCCTTCTGCACAGGGTCACCAGGAAGCAAGACTCCAAGGGCACCCTCAGAGTTTTCTTTCTCCCTAAATCTGTTAGTGCGTTTTCCAGGCTTAGGGCGCCTTTGGTTTAATCGCTGCCACCGCTTTTTAGGCACCACTTGATTAACACCATGGTGTTCATCATTCTCACTGTTAACTTCAGAGCCTAGCTCTGGGTCTTTTCTGTTCTCAAAAGGTTCTTTTTCAAGAATTTTATCAGGGTCGGATTGTTTAACCTTGCTATCAAAATGTACATCAGAAAAATGGGTGTCTTCATTTCTTAAATGGCCCATTTGCTGAAGAGGCTCTTCTTTCCCAAGATCTTCAGCCCCACCCCTTGATGGGCCATTCAAGGAGCTTCCACTTTCTTTGTCTCCCAGCTGGTTAGCGCCAATGGGCACAGCTGGAAGTCGGTTCAACTTTCTTTTGCGCTCTGTCTTTAAGGCTTTGGGGTTTACTGGGGGTTTTGCCATCTGGGCTGAAACTGCTTCTCTCAATTTGGATGATGGCTTTGCTCGGCCACAGTTGCGCCTTGGAATACAGTTTGAGCGACTTTTACCACAAGCAGGGTCTGTTTTGTCTGAAGCTAAGCCAGACAGGGAAGAAGATAATTCTCCAGACAATGAAGAGTCACCCCCACTAGAACTCAGCCGGATTGTGTCCTGAGTGCCATCTCCAGTTTTTTCAGAATTGTGTGTGGAGCCTCCTAACACCAAAACCTTTGATGTCCCTACAGGGCTACTAGTAGAACAGTCCCCACGATCTGGAGTGCGGTAAGAAGCCAGATTTTGAGCAGTCATCAACCGCTGCTCCTTCGTCTTACTATCATGCATATCTTTTAGCATCATTAACAATGTACTAAATTTGTAATCTGGTTCAATAGGTATATGATTCTGACTAGAAGCAGAAGAAAACAGTAATGGCTTTGATGACTTGGATGTTCCAGAGTCACTGACATCCTCATTTAATGATCTATATGAGAGTTCCTTCAATTCTGACAGAACATGCTTCACCACCGCTGTTTCTATGTCACTTGAATCTCTGGTTTTCTCATGCATATTGTTCAGTAGTTTTAGGCCCTCTGCTTTCCCACTTTTGGATATGCTGGCCAAAGGAGAGCCTTTGGTATCAGAAGAACAGCATTTTAAGCTGAGGTCCTCACTTGTAGCTGAGGGTTCTGCATCAGCTGGGTTTTCTTTATGCTTGCATTTTATACTACGGAACTTGGGCTGTCTGCTTTTCAAAGGTAACAGAGTTTGATTTGCAGCTCCACCCTTTATCAATGAGTTTTCACTACAAATGCTTGGTGGTGCACTGAATTTTGGAGCGAGACTGTCGTTTCTAAATTCTGGTTGGGTTTTGGGAACAGGAGTACGGACTTTAATATCAGAAAGATTAACCTGAGATATCTCAGTAGTTCCAGACTCCACTGTCTTGGTAGAATCCATTAAGTGGTCTGTATGTGAATTAGTAATGACGGACTTCTGTTTTTCTTTTACTCTGTTTGTGGCAGGATATCTAGAATACTTTGTTTCATTTTTGTGCATGGATAAAGTATTCTCTGTCCTATCAAAAGCATCTGTAATTTCAAGGACACTGTTATCAAATTCTGCGTTATGTTCTATAGGATCCAGATCACTGCTCCCATCATCAGAAGTGGTACACACACTAACAGAATCACTTCGCTTTTCCTCATCGCCACCTCCAATATAGCAGAGTTGTACTTTTGAGCTGCACACCAGGCCTGACTGGAGTTTCTTTTTCTCTATAGAATGTTTAGAGATCAAAGCACTCTCAGACAAACCTGATAAAGAATCACAATTTGAAGTCTCAAAATCTGCCTTAGTAGTGCTCTGCATACATGAAGAAAAGAGGAAACTTCCTGGTGCAGTTTTAGATCCTGTGAGGCTGTTTGCTATCCTGGAAAGTTCATTAGAAGCCTGTTTATCAGATACACTCCCAGAGATAAAGTCTAGGCCAAGGCTCTCTGGAATTTTCCCCCTCCGGTCCTCTTTCTGTGCTTCAAATGGCAGGAGGCCCTTTTTCACACTAGTCCTTTTTATACTATCAGAGCTTTTTCTAGCTCGAGACTTGTCACAGGGCTTTTCCTTTTCATCTGCAGAATGTTCAGAATCAAAAGCCAGAGACTTCAGGCAGCCATTAAGCAACAGGTCGTGTTCTGACTCAGGATCATTTGTACAGTCCTCAAATAGCATATCTTCTTCACTGTCCAACTTGATTGAACTGGTGACACATTTTTGGTTTTTAGATCCCTTGGGAACATCATATTTCTCAGCAAGACCAACACTGGCTTCCCATTTACTCAAAATTTTCTGAGGAACCTTAAATTAAAAGGAAAATAAGATTATCAATTATTCCAAAAAAAAGGGGAAAACAAGGAGATAATAAGCATCTCAAATCAGAAATAATCTAACATCCTGTCGTTCAAGGGTTTGTTTTTGTTGTTCCTTTTTCTTTTTTCTTTCTTTCTTTTTTTTTTCTTTTTTTTTTTTTTTTGGTTTTTTGAGACAGGGTTTCCCTGTGTAGTTTGTGTGCCTTTCCTGGAACTCACTTTGTAGACCAGGCTGGCCTCGAACTCACAGAGATCCACCTGGCTCTGCCTCCCGAGTGCTGGGATTAAAGGCGTGTGCCTCCACTGCCCGGCTTGTTTCTTTTTCAAGACAGTGTCTCACTATGCAGCTCTGGCTGTCCTGGAACTCACTGTGTAGACCAGGCTGGCCTCAAATTCACAGATCCCCCTGCCTCTGCCTCCCAAGTACTGGGATCAAAGGTGTCCACAAGTATGCCTGGCTAATCTTGCTGTTCTCCTCTCTGAAGCTGGGTGGTGATGGCAGACATCTTTAATTCCATCCAGCACTTGGGAGGTAGTGGAAGGTGGATTCCTTAGTTCGAGACCAGCCTGGTTTACAGAGCAAGTTCTAGGAGAGCCAGGGCTACACAGAAAAACTCTGTCTTGAAAAATCAAAAACAAATAAATAAGTTACCTATCATAACTGCAATAACTAGTACCATAAAAATAAATGCCCTCTTATTATTTATCAGCAAAACCAAGTGGACTATTAACTTCAACTAAAAGTAGTAACAGTAGATTTCTAAAGGAAGACCCATTTCTAAAGACTCATACCCTCCATATTTACACTGTAGAACAAAATAGTATTTTCTTCCTGACATGTAATAAAGGACACAAGCATACACACACTCAGCTTCACAAAAAGAAAGAAGCTTCAAAGAAGAAAAGCATGAAAAAACATATAAGAGGAATGAGTGGGTCAGGTGCCCCTACAGGACCTGAAATTTGAAGTGCTAGCTATCACCAGGGTACTTAATTAACCAAGGCTCTTCTATATGTGCTATGAATGACTTGGAGTATAACCAAATTATCTTCGGAACATAATTACTTAATGCAGAGATACAAAAACAAAGCAGGTACACAAAATCCATGTGGTCATCTCTAAATTCTTCATGAAGGAGGATATCCAGACTCTGAAGCACACCTACTTTTTCAGACCCTTCCATCCTTGGATCTCTGTAATGTTATTTGCAAGATTCTACCTACTAGTCACAAATAGTCACAAATAACTAGAATGCTCCCCAATGCATATAAAATATAATGTCACAAGACAGGTAGCCTCCTCCTGTAAGGTACTACACTGAATGTGAAATCACAGGGACAGAGAATGACAATTACCAAGAACTACCAAGAAAAGGGAAACAAGGAGTTAGGGTTTAAGGCTGTAGCTTCAGCTTTATAAAATGAAAATAACAAGGGCTGATAAACAACAAGCTCATCAATAGGACACTTTCCTGATATGTCAAAGGCCATGGATTCAGTGCCCAACATGGGGTGGGGGACATGGATGGACTGATACCAGAGACAGAGAAAAGAGACTCAATGACAAGTTTATGTCACTTTTATTTTTTTTTTTGGGGGGGGGGGGTTTGAGACAGGGTTCTCTGTGTAACCCTGGCTATCCTGGAACTCGTTCTGTAGACCAGACTAGCCTCAAACTCACAGAGATTTGCCTGCCTCTGCCTTCCAGTGCTGGGATTAAAGTCCCCCACTCTCTGCGTTTTATGTGTATTTTAACAAAAATCAATGTCAGCCTGGGCTATATAGCAAGACCCTGTCTCAAATTATGTACATGTGCACACAGTTTTTAACAAAAGAAATCAAACTTTTCTGATAAGCAAACTGTAACAAAGCATCAAGCAAAAAATACAAATGTTTAATTCCCAGCACCATATAAATTAAAGGTGATGGTGCATACCTGCAATCCCAGCACTTGGGAGGTGGGGGTAGGAGGGTCTGGAATTCAAGGTCACCCACATCTATAAAAACAATAACAAATAAAACCACCACCTTTTGAGCTGGGCTTAGTAGCACAGCCTTTAATCCCAGCACTCCAAGACAGAGGCAGGTAGATCTGAGTACAAAGCCAACCTGATCTACATATTGACTTAACAATTTTCAGGACAGTCAGGGGTATATAGAGACTTTGTTTCAAAAACAAGCAAAAGAATTGAATAAAAAGCAACAAATGTTCATAAACCTAGTGTGCAGGCACATGCCTGTGTTCTGAGCATTCTTGAAGACTGTGGCAAAAGAACTGCCAAGTCTGAGGCCTACCTGGGCAACAGTGAGACCCTGTCTAAAAGCAAAAAAAACAAAAAACAAAAAACAAAAAAAAAAAACCAGGAACGAAACTCACACATACACACAAAGAGAAATGCTCATGATTAAAATATAACTAGGCATGAAACTACAAAGTTAAAAACTGGCAAAGAATAAAACTAAAAAGCCTTATCAAAGTTGGATGTTATGGGAACATTTCTACAATTCTAGCACCTGGAAAGCTGAGGCAAGAAGGCCAGAACAGTCTAAGGTGAAGAGCAAGACCCTATCTCAAAATAAATGAATAAACCCATTTTGCATTTTTAAGAGAAATAATTAGTATTCAAGGTAAGCAGAATCTTTTGTTTTTACTTTACTTTCCTGTTAGGTCCTAAGGACTAAAACAAGGGATTTATGCTTAGTAGGCAAGAGCTCTTCCAATGAGTTAGATCCTTAGCCCTCATTCTGACCATTTCTTCTTGCAAAGAAGATAACCAAAGAAGACTGTATTATCCCCTTCTTTTTGGCAAGTCAGAGGTAGGGAGAATCACTTTTCAAAAAACTCAGCATAAGCCAGGTGGCATTGGTGCATGCCTTTGATTCCAGCACTCGGGAGGCAGAGCCAGGTGGATCTCTATGAGTTCAAGGCCAGCCTAGGTTACAGAGCAAGATCCAGGACAGACACCAAAACTACACAGAGAAACCCTGTCTCAAAAAACCAACCAAACAAACAAATAAAAAAACCAAAAAACCCTCAGCACAAAGTTGTATGGAAACTAGCCTCAGTTAATCCCTACAAAATATTCCACTTTCTAGTGATTACTTCTTCAGATATCCTACTAACCAAAGGTAATAGTATATTTCAAACCTATAATGCTGCTTCTTCTACTTCTTCCACAAGCCAACCCATAAGAAGATAATTTTTGAGAGGTCCTTTTGTTTATAGATTGTCTTTACCTTATGCCTATATCCTTTTTCTTTCTGTTTCCCTCTTCTCCTAAGGACAGGGAGTTCTTCAAATTGATGCCTGCCTTCAAACATGACGATTGCTTTTCCAGCCACCCAGGCTTTTTCAGAAGGATCTCCAAAAGCCTCCACGTAGTATTCTCGATAGGGCCTCCTATTGGCGACTAGATAAGGATAAAAAAGGTGTCATTATTTCAAAAGGATGAGTACTCAACATCATGATCATAGCCAAATCTCCTATAGCCACAGGAGCTCTCTGGGCCACTCAGACAGACTGCTCAGCAGGTAAAAACACTTGGCCCCAAACCTGACAACCTGAGTTCAGCCTGAGTTTGGTCTTCAGAAACACATGATGAAAGGAGAGCACTGAGTCCTGCAGGTGTTAGAGCACTTGAGTATGTTAGAGGCCCCAAATATATACATATATATTCAAAACCATGCTGAATGGCTGGAGAGATGGCTCAGCTGTTAAGAGTGATTCTTGGTGTTCTGGAGGACTTAAGTTCAATTCCTAGCACCCAGATCAGGCAGCTCACAATCTCCTGTAACTCCAGGTTCAGGGAATCCAACACCCTCTTCTGCCCTCTGTGAGCACCCTCAAATACACATAAAAACAAATAGAAGTATTTTTGAAGAGGCTAGAGATAGCTCAGCAGTTAAAAGCATGCATAGCGGGGTTGGGGATTTAGCTCAGTGGTAGAGCGCTTGCCTGGCAAGCACAAGGCCCTGGGTTCGGTCCTCAGCTCCTAGAAGAAAAAAAAAAAAAAAGCATGCATAGCTCTTGAGGAGGATCTGAGTTGGGTTCCCAGCAGTCACATCTGGTGACTCCCAATTGCCTATAACTTCATCTCTGAGGAACCCAATGCTCTAACATCCACAGGCCTGTGCACTCATTACCCACACATACAAGTAATTAAAATAAATTTCAAAATAAAAAAGAAAACCCATGTTGATTACAGGGCTGGAGACACGGTTAGTCAGTTGGTTGCTCACAATCATCTCTCTCTCTCTCTAGTCCCAGAGATCTGATACCCTGTTCTGGCCTCCATAGGCACTGCATACATGTGGTGTACAGACACACATGCAGGTAAAACACCTCCACACATAAAAACAATAAAAAATACATCTTAAAAATATAGGTAGGAGCCGGGCGGTGGTGGCACACGCCTTTAATCCCAGCACTCGGGAGGCAGAGCCAGGCGGATCTCTGTGAGTTCGAGGCCAGCCTGGGCTACCAAGTAAGTTCCAGGAAAGGCGCAAAGCTACACAGAGAAACCCTGTCTCGAAAAAACAAAAATAAATAAATAAATAAATAAATAAAATAAAAATAAAATATATAGGTAGGCCAGACATGTACTAGAGAGATGGCTCAGTGGTTAAGAGCATTGGCTGTCCTTCCAGAGGTCCCAGGTTCAATTCCCAGCACCCACATGGCAGCTCACACCTGTTGTAACTCAGTTCTAGGGGATCTGACACCCTCACACCAATGCACATAAAATTAAATAAATTAAAACAAACAAGCGATGGCTCAGAGGTTAAGAGCACATATTGCTCCTGCAGGGGACCCAAGTTCAGTTCCCAGCACCCATTTTACAAGCCCAACAGCCACATGTAATTCTAGTTGCAGAACTCTGCCTTTCTTGCCCTCTGGGCTCCACCAGTGCTGGCGTTATAGATGTTCCCACAGTGCCTGGACTTTTCTGTCACTGAGGACTGAAATTCAGTCCTCCTGCTTTGAAAGGAAAGCACTTTACTTTCCATCCCCAGCCCCCAAAATTTGTGTTTTCTAACATCATTTGAAATATTTAACCTAAGGGGAACAAAAAGAAAAATCACTTTATTTTTATATACTGTACTTATACTACATTGTAATTTTAATATTCGTATCAACTAAGAATTGGCACAACTCTATAACTGCTAAATCTAAATCAATGTATAGTTGTCCATTCCATTATACTTAAAATTTTCTGCAGGCTTGAAATTTTCAAAGAAGCTGGAGGAAAGCCCGCACTGCTATGAGCAGGGCTGGGGAGAGGGCTCAAGCAGGTAGGGTGCTGGGGCCAAGCCTGGCAGCCTGAACTCAACCACTAAGAAACACCCCCAGTCCTCGACCTCCACACGTGCCCTACGGCACGGGTACTTAATATGTGCATATACATGAACACACATACTTTTTAAAGTAAGTGCTGCAACATCTCTCACAGGCTACTGGACAATGGCAACAACAAAAGAAATAACAGCAAGCACACTCAGGAAAAATAGAGTCATTACTACAAATGTTCAGTAAGGTTTTTTAAACTCAGCTGATTACAGGTTGTCATAAACAAGAAAACAAAACAGAAAATATTTAAAGGGAAAGCTGGAGAAAGAAACATGAACGAAATAGCAATGAGCTCATTTCTCTAAATGCAACAGAGCTCCCAGAAAGGAAGGTTTTTGTTTATTTTGGGGGGAGGGAGTGTTTGAGGGGGAAGGAGGTTTGAGACAGGGTTACTCTATGTAACAGCTCTGGCTGTCCTGGAACTTGCTTTATAGGTCAGTCTGGCCTCAAACTCACAGAGATTCTGACCTCCGTGTATGGTGATATTTTATTTTGTACTAAAATGTTATTTGTATGTTAATAAATAAAGTTGCCTGGGGGTCAGAGCTATTAGCAAGCCATAGGAAAGCTGGGCGGTGGTGGCGCATGCCTTTAATCCCAGCACTTGGTAGGCAGAGCTAGGTAGATCTCTGTGTGTTCAGGGATACAGCCAGCATTGGAGACACACGCCTTTAATCTCAATACCAACCATAGAAGACCTGGAGGTCTATACAGACAGGCAGTGACGAGGTGGTCATGTGGTTGGGTTTACAACCAATGAGAAGGCAGAACCAAAAGTCTTTATAAAGACTTTAACACAGGGGTAGCTCTCTTTCGGAGAGGTAGACCACCGCAGGAGGAAGGGTAAGGTTTTAGCTCTTAGCTCTGACATCTTGGCTTTCTTCTTTGCATTGGTTCTGTGTTTCTTATTTAATAAGACAGTTGGTTACATCTACATCCGTGAGCATTAGGCCCACATGTGGTGTGTATTCATACATACATACAAGAAAAATGCTCATATACATAAAATGAAGAAATAAAAATAATAAAATCTTTCAAAAAAAATTTTTTAAAAAGCAATCACTAGAGGACTGGAGAGATGGTTCAGTGGTTAAGAGCACTGGCTGCTCTTCCAGAGGACTCAGGTTCAATTCCCAGCAACCACATGGCAGCTCACAACTATGATTCCAATTTCAGGGGATCTAACACTCTCACACAGACATATATTTGACAAACGACCAATGAATATAAAATATAAACAAATAAATCATTTAAAAAAAAAAAAAAAAGCAAGCACTATAAGCAAAACTGCCCAGAATACTTCTGTTGATGGCCCTGTTCCTAACACTGATTAGAAGCCAACATTGTTTGGTACACTTCTCAGGAAATTACCTATTTAATTATTAGCTGGTGGCTTCTCTCTTTTACTGGACTCTAATTTCCCACTAAGATAAGCAAGGTGATTATTTTGTCAACTGTACTGGCATAGGACTCAACCTACATGATGTAAATAGTATTTGAAAAATAAACAACTACAGTAAGTAAGAAACCAAAACTTAATCTCAGCACTCAGGGAATGTGATAACTAGTTTTATGTCAACCTGACATAGGATAGGGTCATTTGGGAAAAGAAAATCTCAATTGAGAAAATGCCTTAGCAAACCTGTGGTGATCATCAATGTGAGAGGGATCAGCTCACTGTGCATGGTGCCATCCCTGGCAGATGGTCCTGGGTGATAGGAGAAAACTGGCTAAGCAAGCCAGTAAGAACACTCCTCCATGGTTTCTGCTTGTTCCTGAATTCAGGTTTGCCCTGAATTCCTCAGTGATAGATATTTGTGGAAATACATATATTATATATATTTATATAATAAATATATATATGGAAATATAAGATGAAATATCCACCCATCCAGTCAAAAAAAAAAGAAAAGAGAGAGAGAAAAAAAAAAGAAATATCCACCCATCCCCAAGCTGCTTTTAGTCATGGTGTTTAATCACAGACTAAAAAGTCTTAAGACAGGAAGTCAGACACAGACAGATCTCTCTGAGTCAGAGGCCAATCTAGACTAGATAGCATGTTGGGCATGGTGGTGTGTGCCTTTAATCCCATTTAATCCTAGCACTCAGGAGGAAGAGGCAGATGGATCTCTGTGAACTTGAGGCCAGCCTAGTCTACAAAGCAAGGACAGGGCTATTACACACAGAAGCCCTGTCTAGAAAAACCAAAAGGAAAGAAACCAAAACTCTACAACACAAGTAGAGTAACAGAAAAAACAACTCCAGTGCTGGCAAGGTAGCTCAGCCATTAGGAGCACTGGCTGTTCTCATACAAGACCCGAGTTTGATTCCCAGCACCACATGGTAGCTTACAACAGTCATAACTCCAGTACCCAAGGATCCAGTGCACTCTTATGGCCTCTACAGGCACTGGGCATAAAGTGCACATACATGCATGAAGGCAAAACACATAAAAGAAAAAGAAAAAGAAATCCTTTAAAAAACAAATAAAAGGCCGGGCGGTGGTGGCGCACACCTTTAATCCCAGCACTCGGGAGGCAGAGCCAGGCGGATCTCTGTGAGTTCGAGGCCAGCCTGGGCTACCAAGTGAGTTCCAGGAAAGACGCAAAGCTACAGAGAAACCCTGTCTCGAAAACAAAAACAAAAACAAAACAAAACAAAACAAAAAAACAAATAAAAACAAACAAACAAAAAATCCTGTAGGGGCTGCAGAGATTGCTCAGTAGTTAAGAGCACTGGCTGATCTTCAAGAAAACAGAGGTTCAATTCCCAGGACCCACACGGGTTCACAACTGTCTATAACACCAATTCCAGGGAATCCAAACTCTTGCATACAGGTAGGCAAACCACCCAACCACATAAAATAAAAATAAGTAAATCTTTAATCTCAGCACTCAGAGGCAAAGGCAGGTAAATTTCTGAGTGCAAGGCCAGCCTGGTCTACAGAGTGAGCCCCAGGCCAACCAAGGCTATGTAGAGACCCTGTCTCAAAAAAGAAAAAAAAAAAATTAAATAAAAAATTCAAACTATAAAATCAATTTCAGCAATCTCACTTTTCCTTTTTGAGGGTGAGAGTGGGTCAGGGGGAGTATTTACTGGTTGGGGGGGACAGTATAATTCTGCAATAGAAGCAGGATAGTCACTAGTTTGAAGCCAAACTAGTCTACACAGCAAGTTCCAGACCAAGACAAATAATAAAACCCTAGTCTTTTCAAATAATAAAAATAGGCATCTGCAGAGATGGCTTAGCCATAAAGAACACTTACTGCTCTTCTAGTACCAGAGTTCAATTCCCAACACCCATGGCTCACACCTGCCTATAACTCCAGCTTAAGGAGACAGAACACCACTGACCGCCTTAAGTACTTGCACTCACTCACACTCTCAATCAGACACACATACATACATTATTGCAAACTATAAAAATAAGTAAATCAAGTTTTAGACTTTAGCTTTAAGACATTTAAAATATCTTAGATTCAAACATATTAAACCAAGTGTGGTAGTTTGAATGTAACTGGCCCTTATAAGTTCATAGGGAGTAGCACTATTAGGAGGTGTGGCTTTGTTGAAATAGGTGTGTGTGGCCTTGTTGGAGGAAGTTTGTCACTGTAGAGGTGGGCTTTGAGGTCCCCTATGCTCAAGCTACACCTAGTTCAGTTCAATTCCTGTTGCCTGAAGACCAAGATTTAGAATTCTCAGCTCCTTTTCCAGCACCATGTCTGCCTGCATGTGGCCATGTCCCACCATGATGATAATGGACTTTATCTCTAAAACTGTAAGCCACCCAATAATGTTTTCCTTTATAAGAATTGCCATGGTCACTGTGTCTCTTCACAGAAATAGAAACCCTGAAACACCAAGTGAGAAAAACAAATTACAATAACCAAAGAAAAATATTCCAAATCAAGATTCTGTCATTCTTTCTTGTTAAGGCAGTTTCATGTATCCCATATTGGCCTCAAACTCACTGTGTAGGCAAGAATGACGTAGAAATCCTTAATTCTCCTGCTCCCAATCCCCTAAATCAGCCATTCTCAACCTGGGGTTTATGACTCCTTTTGGGATTGAATGACCCTTTCACAGGGTCATAACACCACATACACTGGGTGGCACACCCCGATCAGACACATGGAAACAGAAGGACAGATGGTCCGACAGCTCAAAGCCAGCCTGGGGTACAGGAAACCCCATCTCCAGCAAATAACATGGGGGTACAGGGGCTGGGATTATATATTAATTGGTAAAGCTAAATAGCCATTTCCATTTTCCATTCTATATATACAGAATAGCTGAGAATTTTTATTTAAAACAGTCTCACTATGTTGCTGCCTTCAAATTCATGATTCCTGCCTCAATCTTTCAAATCATGAGATTACAGGCAAGTACCAACAAGCCTAAATTAACAACTTTTAAATCTCAGAGTAGACAAACTAAAAAACAAAACAAAAAAAAAAAACTAAAAAGAAGGAATTTCTTAAAAATTCATAAAATTTCAAAGAAAACAATGACTTACTGCTAAAGTAACAAAAATCCTGAATTATACTAAAAGCAGCTGCAAGCCTATGATTCCACATACTGTTTTATCACAAATAATCAACTCTAAGTTATTACCTTTCATTTTTGAGTGCGTATTAATCAATGGATCAGCACAAATCCTGCAGGGCCACCATGGGCGTCTCTTGAATTTCGCCCAAATAAGATCGCCAACTTCATACTTCAGTGGTGCAGACTTTTTCTTCGGTTGACACTTTAGACAGACAAAACATGGGGAACCAGTGAGAATAAACCTTTGCAGTATTATCCTCCAACTAGAATTCTGAAAAGCCAATGCCTAAAAAATACAAAATGAGCTGGGCAATGGTGGTGCACGCCTTTAATCCCAGGATTTGGGAAGCAGAGGCAGGCAGATCTCTGTGAGTTCGAGGCCAGCCCGAGCTATCGAGTGAGTTCCAGGACAGGCTACAAAGCTACACAGAGAGGGCTGGAGAGATGGCTCAGGGGTTAAGAGCACTGGCTGCTCTTCCGGAGGTCCTGAGTTCAATTCCCAGCACCCACATGGTGGCTCACAACCATCTGTAATGACAATTGGTGCCCTCATCTGGCCTGCGGGGATACATGCAGACAGAACACTGTATATGTAATAAATAAGTTAAAAAAAAAAAAAAGCTACACAGAGAAACCCTGTCTTGAAAAATACAAATAAATACATAAATAAATGGATAAAAACCCTGCTAGTCATGGATGATAAAATAAGCACTAATTATCTTGACTTAACTGTTCATAGCATACCCTTTCAGGATAATTTTTCTTCCTTTCTTTCCTTCTTTCTTTCTTTCTTTTTGGTTTTTCGAGACAGGGTTTCTCTGTGTAGTTTTGGTGCCTGTCCTGGATCTCACTTTGTAGACCAGGCTGGCCTCAAACTCACACGGATCTGCCTGACTCTGCCTTCCAAGAGCCGGGACTAAAGGCGTGCGCCACTACTGCCTGGCTTAGAGTAATTTTCAATTTATATTTGTTTTACATTTTCATTAATGGTCATAACGAAAATAAACCTCAAAGCACACAGGATATGGTGGTACAAGCCTTTCACTCCAGTACTTGAGAGTCAGAGGCAAGCATAGATCTCTGGGAGTTCAAGGCCAACCTGGCCTATATAGTCCCATCTAGCTAGAACTCCATAGGGAGACCTTGTCTCAAACAAAACAAAATCAAATCCTAGAAGTATAGGCCATACTCTACTCATGCCAATGCACCCAACCCTAAATTTTCCCCATGATATACTAGGAAGATATACAAAATACTACATAGCACAACTCTGAACAACTGAAATAGAATGCGGTATAAATATAAATGAAGCTCTTAGCAATTGTTCAACATAGAAGCCCAGGCCACATCCTTTCTCCAAAAATAATATGCCTGTTTAATCTGATATCTAATTGTCTCCATCTCAGCTCCCACGTCCATGTCTCTAAACAGCACAAACTTCCTGCCTTCGGAAAAAAAACTGTTCCACAGGCCTGCGCTTTCCATCTTGTATTCAAGAGGACATAAAACAGTATCATTTTGCCCTAAGGGCCATTTCTTAAAAATGGCCAGACAGAGTAATAATCACATGACCCAGTAATTCCACTCATAGATATACTCAAGACTAACAGATACATAGCCAGGGCTTGGGGATATAAGTTCAGTGGTAGAGTACTTGCCTATCATCTACAAGAGCCCCATATGCCATCCCCAGCACCAGGGAAAAATACAGACACACACAAAAATGTATACAAATGTTCACAGGATTATGTATCATAGTCAAAAAAAAAATTAAATGGCCATTAACTGAAGAATGGAAACATGTGATTTGTGCATACAATGGAATATAGTTGGCCCTCCCTATTTAAGGAGTCTACTTCTGCAGATTTACTAACTGTAGATCAAAACTCTAATTGAGAGGAGCAGGGCACAGAGGTACGAATCTATAATCCTAGTGCTTAGGAAGCTGAGGAAAGAAGGTCCAAGATTTGAAGTCAGAGCAAGCTCTATGAGTTCCAGGTCCTAGCGTGGGTGAGACACAGACAAGCAAGGCAGATCTCCAGAGCTTGCTGGCCAGCCAGTCTAGCCAATCAGTGACGCAAGATCCAAGGTTGTACTCTGACCTCCATGAACGTACCGCACTCACATATGAACACACAAACCACAAGACTAAAATTCTAAAAAATAAAATAAATGAGGTGAAGAGCAACTGAGAAAGACACTTTTGGCCTCCAAACACAGGTGCACCCATGTACACACACCACTGCCTTCTAACACACAAAATAAAAAGATAAATTGTTGAGTGTGGTGGCACATGTCTACGATCCCAGCACTTAGGAGATGAAGGCAGGAGGATCAAAGTCAGCCCCAGCTTTAATGTATAATCAATTTGGAGGCAATCCTAGACTGCCTGAAACCCTGACAAAAACCAGGGAGGGACAACTGTTCAGAAGGCTCAGCAAGTTAAGATCATTGATTTCCCAGGCACCCATATTAGCTCACGAACATCCATAACTCCCAGGCATCCCAGGTACACAATCATATACATAAAATAAATCTTTAAACAATTAATAAAAAAGATAACTAAGGAGATGGAGAGATGGCTCAGCGGTTAAGAGCACTTGCTGCTCTCCCAAACTCCCAGAGGACCCGAGTTTGGATCCCCAGCACCCATATAAGGCAGCTTACAACTAACTGCTTACAACTTCAGTTCCAGAAAATCCAATGCCATCTTCTGGCCTCCTTAGGCATCCACATGTGGCATATACCCACGGACACATGAATAAAATTTTTAAGTAAACAGATATAGGTTTTAGGAAGAAAATCTGAACTTTACTTTGGGTGGGTGGGTGGTTTGTTTTTTTAACATATATGTGTATTTTACTTGTATGCATGCCTAGTACCCGCACCCTGAGGCCAGAAGAGAACATAGGATACCCTAGAACTACAGTAACAGACAATTGTGAGCTGCCACCTGGGTGCTGGCAATTGAACCCAGGTACTCTTCAAGAGCAAGTACTCTTGCCAGGCGTGGTAGTGTACGCCTTTAGTCCAGGTACTAGGGATGTAGAGGCAGCCAGATCTCAGTGAGTTCAAGGCCAATGTGGTCTACAAATCGAGTTCCAGGACAGCCAGGGCTGTTACACAGAAAAATCTTGTCTAAAAAACAAAAAGAAACAAAAAACCCAAATGTTCTAAAACATTGAACCATCTCTCCAATCCCAAACACCTTGGGGAGTGGGGGGGTTTCTGAGTAGTTTTTTTTGTTTTGGTTTGGTTTTTTGCTTTTTCAAGACAGGGTTTCTCTATATAATTTTGGTGCCTGTCCTGATCTCGCTCTGTAGAGCAGGCTGGCCTCAAACTCACAGAGATCCGCCTGGCTCTGTCTCTCGAATGCTGGGATTATAAGTGTGCGCCGCCTCCCAGCATTATTTTGTTTTTTTGAGTCAGAGTCTTACTATGTAGCCTTGGCTGTCCTGGAACTCGATATGTAGACCAGGCTGGCCTCACTCACAGGGGTCCTCCTGTCTCTGCCTCCCAGGTTCTGGGAGATGTACACCACCATGCTTGTCCTTGGTTGGTTGTTTTTGAGAGAGGGTCTGTGTAATCCAGGCTCCCACAGAACTTTCTATATAATCCAGGTTAGTTCCAGCCTGAAGCTCCTCAGTGTTAAGACTATAGGCTTGCACTCCCAGACCTAATATGAAGCTACTTTTAATGTGAGCATTAATTAAGCATGTGATAAATAATTAAAATCATTCTAGGCAGGAACCCGAGCTCTTTCATAGACAAATCCATAAAAACAAAAGTCAACAAAATTACAACCTTCAGCAGTTTTAATATTTCATTCTACAGAGCACCTATATACTGAATGCATATGGTAACACCTTAAAAATAGCTGCTATAATTTCATTCCTTGCATTTGTAACTATACATTATTTCTATTATACTAAAAATCAGGGCTGGATCATGCATGCCTATAATCCCAGCACTTGGGAGGTAGTCAGGATAGTTCAACACCAGCCTCAGCCATATAGCAAACTGAAGGCCAGCTTGGGCTACTATTAAGTATGAGACTCTTGACTTGGTCAGGAAAGTATCTGTGGATCTCTAGAATTCATTGGTCAGCAAGCCTAACCCAACCAGTGACATCCAGATTCAATGAAAGATCCTGTTTTAAAAAATAAGGTGGAGAGTCAGGGGTGACATTTTCCTTCTTTCCCAGCACTTGGAGACAACTGAAGACAGAGGCAGGATCTCTGAGCTTAAAGCCATCCAAATCTACATAGTGAATACCAGGTTAGCCAGTGCTACAAAGTGAAACCCTATCTGCCTCAAAATAAACAAACAGTCAGATAAAGTAAAATAAAAACAATCAAAAACAAAAGAAACAAACAAAAACCAAAGCTGAAGATAGAGCTCAGTTGGCAGAGTACTTCTGCCTAGCATGCCAGAGACCCCACACTGAGTCCCCAGCATCAAGCAGCAAGCAAATGAGTGGGGTTTCAGGAGGGAGTCCGGCAGCTGAGTGCTTGTCCACCACATGCAAGGCCCTGGCTTTAACCTCCAGGACTGGAGAAAAAAACAGATACATGAATGGCTAGATGTATAAATGGATTAAAACCAGACTAAAGGTGCATGCCTTTAATCCTCCAGCACTTAGGAGGCAGAGGCAGGAAGAGCTCTGAGTTAGAAGCCAGCCTGGTCTATATAGTCAGTTCCAGTACAGCCAGGCTTATAGAAAGACTATGTCTCAAAAAATAAATCCAAAATACTATAAAAGATGCTAACAGCTGCCGGGCGGTGGTGGCGCACGCCTTTAATCCCAGCACTCGGGAGGCAGAGCCAGGCGGATCTCTGTGAGTTCGAGGCCAGCCTGGGCTACCAAGTGAGTTCCAGGAAAAGGCGCAAAGCTACACAGAGAAACCCTGTCTCGAAAAACCAAAAAAAAAAAAAAAAAAAAAAAAAAAGATGCTAACAGCTATATCCCATGGCCCTAACACAGCAAAAGAAACTAATAAAATTATCTGTTATACTGAAACTCAATGATTAAGAACAATTCAGCACCAGGCAGTGGTGGTGCACGCTTTTAATCCCAGCACTCGGGAGGCAGAGGCAGGAGGATCTCTGTGAGTTCAAGGCCAGCCTGGCCTACAGAGCAAGTTCCAGGACAATTAGGGATACACAGAGAAACCCTGTCTTGAAAAACCAAAGAGAGAGCAA